TCCAGCTGCTAGAACCAAATAAATACCAAGTGTTGCTCAGGAGGTTAGGTGTATAGAGGGAGGGAAAATGCAGTTGATTTAGCTTAAGAAAAAATAGTACACCAATACTATTTGTGGGACCTCAGAAATTTAATTCAAGTTTAGTTTCCTCATTTGCCAAACTGTCAGGAAACTATCCGCCTGCCCAGCCAACCTTACAGCACCGCTTTGCTAATCAAATGACAGGCACCTACTTCAGGAGGCAGATCTAGGTGGAATTCCAGTTAGAATTCTAAAAGGGAAGGTGACTGATAGCTCTGATTGTAAACAATGTTACTTTTTATATAGGAGACTAGTTGGGACAGAAGGCATTTAAATTAGAGTGTATAATCTTATAATACCTTCAATAGGGGAAAAGGAGGGGAGGGTTCAGCTGAAGAAAGGAAGGGATCATCCAGGAGTACACATACATACAGAGACATACCAAAGACAATCAAAGTGGCACAAGCATTTAAGAATAAAGAAGAAAGCTAACTGATGGTTACACCTCCTCACTCATCTATATATTCCCCAGTGAGCACAACGTTTAACAGGTAAGAAATAAACAATTCCTGAGTTTGACTAGGTTCAGCAGTTAAATCCCAGAGAAAAAGGAGTAAGTCCTTTACTCCAATCTTGTTGTCTCTGATGAGTTTAACATAGCCCCAAATCAATGAGGAAATCACATAAGAGAGTTGAGGACTCTGTATAAGATCAAGCTTTCTTGGCAAGCCACGCAAAGGATCTTGAGTTCTCAGAGAGCTCATCCAACAAGATTACTTCATAATTATCAGTAACCTAGGAAGAGGTCTGCAAAAAGTAAGTAGTACTAAAATACCAAAGCATGGCAAATGCCACAATTTTCAAAAAAAAGTGTATTTCCAGAAATGTCAATCTCAGACAAAACTCTAGAATTGATAATGAACAAATACATATGTGTGTATAAAAATACAAACTGTAGCAGTCCCTCAGACAGCACGGGTTCTCAAAATAATTCATGTCAAATTAACCTCATTACCTTTTTGACTGAGTTACCATGAAAGAAACCAACACAAATTAAGCACCATTTATTCATTCAAAGGCAAACATACATTAAACAAACACTGTGCCAGGTTTACACACTATGGCTCTCTAATCCACATCAAAACCCTATGAGTGAGATTCTCCCATTTCATGGATAATGAGCCAGCTGACAAACATTAGAATAATCTGCCAAGATCACGATGGCTAAAAAGCAGGAGCCAAAAATTCAAACTAACTACAAAGTCCTGTCCCTTTTTACCACATCATAGGGCCTCCTAGTGCAGAAACAGTGGATCCTGTCTTCTGCAAGCATCTGACAGAGCATCTCATGATATCCGGTATAGGTAAGACTAATGTGGCTACAACAAAAAAGTTAGATTTGTAATACCAGAATAGCCATTTTCATTAAAGGCTTCATGTCCACTAGGTAGTAACCCATAGCACTCAGCCTTGTTTCTGCTTCCGTTATCATTAATATGTAATACACTCCATTAATAACTATTTCTCAGTCAAGAGGAAAGAGGACTGTGGCCCAAGCACAGACTGAAAGACCCCACCCCTAAGATTCTGAATGTCTAGAGAAATATAGCTCTGGTCACGTGTCACTAGACTATGATGAGACTTGCACAGAGCTTTGCACTTGGCCCTCTCTCTCCCCTTTCTTTCAGAGTCTACTTACGACTGATGAGAACACTGAAGACATTCAACTCAAATCTTCAGCTGACAAAGTTACGAGTAGCTAGCCTGGAGAGTAGGCATGATGCCTTATTTTTCATTGCATGCCCTGGACCCAACCGAGTGCCTGACCCACAAGAACTCCACCAAAGTTTCTTGAATTATCAAACATTAAAGGATATTAATAGGCTTTAACCACTGGAGCAAATCTATCAAAGCCAACTTCAATGAGTCAAATACATTAGGGACAAAAAACCAATACACAATCAAAGGAAAAAGAAGCTGAGGGATGTGAAGTCTCCTTCCTTCCTACCTTCCTTCTTCCCTCCCTCCCTTCTTTTCAAGCAAATAAGACTCAGACAGTGGGCACAATGTTAATCAATGTGACAGCTAACAAAAAGCTCAGTCTTTTCTACTTAGGTATGAGAGAAGAATTCTCCCCAGGAAAGGTGATAGTCTGCACTTCTTTGCACAGTTCTAACCATACTTGGAATCATTTGTATAGCTCAAGCCACCATATTTTAAGGAAAGAGGACAATGATTAAGTGGTGACTGTCAAGAAGAGATGTCAAAATAGTGATATGATTTAGAACAATTTCACAGGAGACCCAGTTTAAGGAACCAGAGCTGTTTACCCAAGAGAAGACAAGACTCAAGAGGATGTGATAGCTATCTTCAACTATCAGAAGAGATGTTGCATGTGTCTAAGATTCAGAGGGCAGAACTAAGACTGGAAACTACAGGGAAAGATTTTTGTCTCCAGGCACAGAAAAATGAGTTGGAAATGAAATCTGTTCAAAAATGAGACGTGCTGCGTCAGGATATAGTTTTCTACCTTCTATGTCAGTTCATCTCACCTCCAAGATGTTTGAAGCAGACAATCACTTGACTGAAATATTTAACGAAAGACTGCAACAGTGAAACATAAACTCTTAGGTTCCTCTCAGCCTTTAACATAGGAATACATGAGAGTGTACTTTGCAAAACACAAAGTATTTTACAAAGGTAGTAGGTAGTTTTGTTGACAAGAAAAAAGGGAAACTTCCCCTCATACCTTAGGATGCATTATCTCCTCTCCATTTGAAAATGAAAGGCATACCAGCTTGTGTTTTATGGGTCTCACTCAAGTCAAATTCCTCTAAAAAAACTGTTAAGAAAGATGAAATGAACTGATATCTAAGAGAAAGAGACTGAATATAATGCTGTTCCTATACACTGATATGCAGCAAAATCTTCAATTCTGGAACATAAGCCAGATACTGTTTGTGATGAGTGTTAAATAAATATTAAAATCAGGACTGCTATGCTTCTGATAGCAGCGAGCTACCACAACTTCATTCACTCCCATGTAAATTGCAGTGGTTTCCTCTCAAATATTAAAAATCTTTAGCCTGGTTTTAGTTTTGAGGATATGTTTTTGGGATGTATAATGAAAGTGCAATTTTTAGATTAAAAAACTAAACTATTTTTTAAAAAACGTTAAAAGCACAACCACAAGGTTTTCTCTTTTCTCTAAGATTTGTAGCACAAAAGAAACCACTAAGGGGTGGTTTACCAATATCGAGACAGCGTGACTTATTGCTTAAACTTTGAAGTAAGAACTGGATTCAAACTTCAGCTTGGCCACCATGGCTTGTGGCAATCTGATGGCCAGCAAATTACTCAACTTGACCACGCCTGTTTCATCACCTGTAGAATGAGGCTAATAAAACTATCCACCTCATAGGCTGTTGTAAGAATTGAAAGAAAAGAAGAAAAGTAAAATATTCAGCACAGTACGGACTCACTAAATGTTATTGCTGTTACTTTAACTAAACTTCCAAATGATCATAGGTATTTACCCTACGAATTTCCTTGCTCTAATAACACTTAATAACTATTAAAATTGTGTTAAGTGATCTTGTACAAGGATGTAAGAAAAAAATGCAGTTTTCTGACGTTGACTTTTTCAGATATTATGCCTTACACAGGAGTAAAAATAGAACATGGAATCAGAACCAGAGCATCTTTGTAAATTCTAGACTCAGTAGTTTAATAATAGCATCAAACATCAAATGTCAGAACAATTAAGAGGAGACTGTGCATTCTATTAAATAGTGTCCATGCACTTAACACACTCCACAATCACTGATTACAGTCTATTGTGCAATTTGGGCTAGCAATAATAAAAACGAGAGCTTACACTATCAGGTCCTAAGTGTTTTTATGTATATTTGTCCTGACAACCCTATGAACTAGATACTATTATTATGGCCATGTTAACAGATAAAGAAACTTAGGCACAGAAAGGTTAATTAACTTGACCAAGATCACATAGCTAGTTAAACTGATGGTGGTGCAATATGAACCTAGACAATCAGGCTCAAAAGTCCACTAGAATTTACTGCCTCTGACTAAACTGACCTGGCAGATTCGTTGAATATTCTTCTTCTAACACGTGCAAACTGATTTCTTTGGAAGACGGGGAGACTCCAACGACCTCAGAGGCCTGACTGCACTCCCAATCAATGATTACATTTTAACACTGTTTCCGACTAACCACCGTGTAACTGCTGATGAAAGCCGGCCCTACATCACAAGCAAATAAATAACAGCAGCAGCTTAGCTGCTAGTTCGAGGACCAACTGTTGGCCAGTATTCAAATGACGTTTCCATGTGAACATGGCTCGACCCGCATCGCTGGATGGAAGTGACCCACCAGTCAGACCTACGCAGCCAGCAATGGAACTGCGTAACCCGCACCGGCAAGGGGTCATTTTAAAAAAAAACCCTCCAGAGGTGAATGTTTTGCCAATCAGCACGTTACTCGAAGACAGAGTAAAATGGAACTTGCATAAATACTTAGTCATCAGTAAGCGCTGAAGTTACAAATCACCTAATTCGCAAAATCAAATCCGCAGCTAAGTTCCTAATTCCGAAAGAAAGAAAAAAGGGCTGACACACTCGGTTGACTGCCTGTAGGGTGAAGGCACCTAGGGCCCAAGCGGAAGCGACTAGAAGGGGAAAACCTAGCCCACCGACGGGGATTCCGCGACATGCGCAGCCACACTGGGGACTTTTCAGGGCCCTTCCACTCCCCTCCCAACAGCCTGTTCTCCTGTCTCCAGGCCGCCCCGACAACGCGTGCTCCCAGGGCGAATTCGGAAAGGCAATCCGAAGGCGGCGATGACAGGCCTGGGATCCGAGAGCCCAGACCTAGAGGACCGTGGCGCCAGGCAAAGCCCTCGGAGCCCCCGTGGGGTAGGGGCCCCGAGGCGCCACCTCCCGCTCCCGGGGGCCCGCACCTGCAGCGTGGTGATGTGCTTGTCGTTGAACTTGTTCTCGCAGTAGCGCAGCACCAGCGACGTCTTCCCCACGCAGCCTTCCCCGAGCAGCACCACCTTGAACGAGTAGGCTC